TCATATAATATATGAGACAAAGGTGCTTATTTTGGTTTACTTGAAAGCACTGTAATTATAGCACTTTTTAGTTCATGGAACAATAAAACAAAGTTTACAGTGTAATAATCATAAATACTTTTTAGTACTTAATTATTAAAATTGGTTTTTTGACGTCTTCAACAATACTCTTTTCTCCTTTATGGTAGAGCGAAAACCCTTTTTTTTTTAATTGAAATCGCAGTTAATTAATCATAAATATCAAGCAATTAGTTAATTACAGAAAAATATTTTCTTTTTTACTTGTAATAAGTAAATATCTTTATTTAATATTTTGTAATTATCTAGTTATTACAAGTGAATAATATTTATTTTTCTTTAACATCTGTGATTTCTTTATAATATTAATAACTATCATAATTATGAAATAATTAATTAAAAGAATTACAGATAAAAAGAGTTATTACAGTACAAGAAATAAAAGTACTTAATTTATTACTGGAATGCTTTTAAATAGTCATAGAAATCACCTACATTTTATACATCACTTTTTGTTCCTTGTCAAGGTCATTTTTAAAATTTTGATTTTTTTTTAATTTTAAATTAATATTTTTAATATTATTTTATTAATTTAATATACTAATAAAAAATATTATTTTAAAATATTTTAAAATAAAAAATATTTTAAAAAACAATATCCATCTTAAAAAATCTGAACTCTGCGATGAGGTCAGGCTCACCACTGACAGCATCGGACTTGTTTTATCTGTGGGAACCATGGCACCCCCACTAATTGACAATATGATTACTACATCTTTGAGTCTAATTTTCCAGACGCAAACATATCTTTTCTTGGCAACTTTTTTGCCGACCCAAATTGTGAAATCTACAAAAGATCTGTTGGCTAGTGCTTTTCTTTTTCGGAAGATAAAAAAAAAATATGGGATCGGAGCCCGTAGTCATGGTCATAACTCGGGACACTCGGATCGGGGACCAATGACCATGAGATAGAAAGAAGGAGTAAAGGTGACCGTGCCCAGCTTTTCAACTATTTTTTTACTTTCCTTCTTTCTTTCTTCCACCGAATCAAATCATTCATTCATCAGTAGTAGTAAGTAGTAGATTTTTATCTAAAAAGCTTGAAGGCCTCCCCCGAATATTATCCATCTGCGCAAGCTTCAAGCCATGTACAATTATTGCTTAGGTACAACATTGGACCCACAGCTCAGAGGTTGTCCCAATGTAAGAGCCATCGGAGTCCCTCTTGCTTTTCTCTAATCTCTGATGGCGGCTTAGCTTGATCATCGAAGCCCTAAGGCCCCAAACCATTTGACCTTTCAGAACGTTCTTCGTGTACTCTTTTGTATAGTAACAGCTACTGAGGAGTTGGGAATTAAAGATGAAGAAAAGGAAAGTTAACGAAAGGTGTTGAAGGGCCCCTACTATTTTCCACTAGAAAAAATAAAACGCCCTACAACTTCAGGCACTCGGTGACCAAACAGGTAGGCAATTAGAAGAGGGTTGGTTGACGTATGCATGTCAAATAAGTCATTTAAATTTATTAGACAACACTTCAACACTTGTAACATCTCACATTATTAAAAAAAAAGTGTCTATAATCTGGGTATCTAAGTTTGTAGGATATTTTTGAAACATGTATACTATCAAAAATAAATTATAAGATATAAAAGTCGAGTTGGGCTAAATTATAACAAATAATATTAAATAAGAAAAAATTAGATTCAACCTTATATATAATATCAAAACTAAGAATAACTTGTTTTTAAAATAGAGAGTATATAAAAAAAAATATCTAGAATTAGGATGTTATCTAATCTTGTAGGACGTGTTTTGAAGTATGTAAACTGTTAGGACCAGAATCTTAAAGCGTGGGAACTGAATTAGGTTAAACTATAAAATACAATATTCTGCAAGAAGATGAGTCGGGCCTTACAACATTTATACTATTTTTTAATATAATTTTTTAAATAAAAACTTTTTAAATTTAAAATTTATATAAACTCATATTTTTGTATTACTTAATTTTTATTAAATAACTAAAAATGATAAAATTTAAACTTAAGAATAATATGTCATTAATATCATATCAATAATCAATTCAATCTAAAAATCTAAATTGCTAAATAAAATTTTAAAATATAATTTATATTATTTTTTAACCACATATAAAAATTAAAAATAAATAGCCGTCTTTGACTTACAACTCTTAAACTGTGCAGTGGAGCTCGGCAGGGATATAAAGGAGAGGGAAAAACATGATAAAAGCCATACACAAGCATCCGATTCCACGAGGCTGAGAAGGAGAACTTGAGTTAATGGAGGATAAAGAAAGTGACTTTGTGTCTCCTCCATCCACGGGAAAGAAAATTCGAAATGGTTTCCTCTATCTGGCAGCATATGTTCCATCAGAATCTTAATAATGTTCCCATCATGATTATTCGAAGCCTTTTTTTATCCCCTCGATATCTTTGTTCCCATGGGACACCCCTGAGCCTGGCTAGCTGTCTTTTGCCTGTAACTTCTACTAATTATGTTCGTGCACATTAGGCTTTTATTCACTTATGTGTTGATTATGTGAGCAGCAAACTAAGAAATAAATTTGTTGCTGCATATGGTAGAGAAAGGTAACTAGGTAAGTAGTAGATTACTCGACCAACAATTCTTGATGCAGATAGAGACTGATTCAAAGTCTTTAACGTTTATAGGGCTTATAATAAATATACACAGAAACAAGCAGATCTCAACTACCATAGATTTTAATTTGTTCTCCTAAGATTTATGAGGTTTATCTCACAATTTTGATTTATACCAATCAGCTACCATAACTCTCATGAGAGACACCACAGAAGGCCAAATTTGGCCATCGGAGGAAGCCACATGCACTGTAATCATCCAAGCACTAGACCCTTCACCGACATTGCGAGACACTTATATCTAGGCATTTAAAATAAATAATTAAGGCAATTCTAAAAAACATGTGAGGATCAATTTTTAAAAAAATGCAACAAAAATATGAGGACAAAAATACCCAATCCTTGAAGGTATAAAATTAAAGGGGCTTAAAATTTGTCAATACCTCAAATTCAATCCTCAAAACTTTAATTGCCAAAAAAAAATTAAAAATAAATTTTATTTCACAAAATTAAGTACCAAGCAAGCATTGAAATATTTCCTCAACATCTCAAGGTTTATATTCATAAATAGATAAGACAAAACAACCCGCAAAGCTATTACCCACACGTAATTGCAATGCTAGAGGGACAAAATAAAAAAAAATAAAGGGTCAAAATGTAAATAATCAAAGGACAAAAAAAAAGGAAACCATCTTGGATTTATGCATAATAAATAGATGTACAGTAATTCTTCCTTCAGTTTTTTTTTTTTTAATTATTTCTCTTCATGGTTCATCTTAGTCCATTTAATAAAATAACAAAAAAAATGTTTTAATAAAACAAATATGATAAGTCTACCATGCAATTAACTGCATCAAAGTAATCATAGTAAATCAGGATGTTTTTTTTTACAAAAAAAAAAGGGTTTGAACTACTCAATTGACTAGAATGGAAATTTTGAACATGACATTTGGAGATTATCCGAAGTCTAAACAACCACTGAGGCAATTAATGAGAAGGATGTTTCTGCTAGTTGTTTTATTCATATATATTTTATTTTATTTTTAAATTTATTTTTAATATTAATAAATCAAAACAAGTTAAAAATATTAAAAAATTAATCTATATTCCTGCCAATCATTTGATCTTTACAGTTGCACCTCCTCATAAAATCCTAGATTTTAATTGTCTGCCATGTCATCCTCTTGGCTGCCATGTCCATCTTTTCTCTTTATCACCATGTCCATGCATTTCGATGGAGGGGAGGAAAGTACAAATCGTTTTATCTGTAAATAGTTTAACAACTAAAATTTGTAATTAACACTAATCAAGTGGGCCTTCTTTCTCTTTGTTTTTTTTCTTTTTAAGAAAATATTCCTTCAATAAATTTAAAGCCCAGTTATTAGCTGTTGCTCAGTATTCTGCCGTTGCTCTGACCCATGCGACCCGTTGTATTGTTCCTTTCCGAAAATTGAATTCATAGGCAACTTCCCGCGAGCAATTTATTAAATAGCCATTAAAACTGTAGGCCATGCCCCGCAGGCCGAGAGACTATACATTAATTTACACTAATAAGATAGTTTTGTTTAAATCATAATGTTATAATGAAGACAACACATTTTATGTACATTTCCCCTGAGCTCTCTGCTAATCAAGCTCAGAGATTTCTGTCGGCTACATCGACGTCACAGACAAGATTCTTCTGGGATTAAAAATGGATCTAGGATCTCCTGGCCTCGTGTAATCTTCTGCTTAAACCGTAAAAGTACTTGATGTAAACACAATAACCAAGAAGACTGATTTCGTGAGAGGGAAATTGCACTGCCATTGGAGAACCTAAAATATATTACTACACAAAAAAAACAAAAAGATGCCTCTTTTTCATCCATTAGAACCACAGAAAAGAGGTGGTTGCATCTCATTCTCATCCATTAAAGATCACTTATTTTCTGTTCTGTCCTCCAAGGAATAGAAATGTTGCAGCAGCAGCAGCCCATGTATTGAGCCTTTTATTTTCCTCGTGCCTTTTACAGTTTACAGTATGGTTAATTGTCTAGTAAATTAATGCAGTTCTGTAATATCGTTAAGAATGGAGTCTTGCTCATATGGCTGTGTTGTGGGTCCTTTATGTCATTCTCAAAACTAATGGAGATACAAGCCTGTGTTGAGGGCATGTTTGTGTGATGGATCAATTTGAAACTAGTAGTGTCTGTTTCTGCTGCATGGATCATTTTTCTCCGCTCGATATGATAGGGGTGAACTTTCTGTAAGGATTTCTGCTTGATTAAGAGTTCTCATGGTTATCACAAAAATAAAAATAAAAAACTCATCGCATACAAATCATTTGACACTTCATGATGTGGCAATTGGTTATTAGTGCACGAGAGTTACAGTGCAGCAAGTGTAGAAACTTCTCTACTTGATCCATACTGCTTTAGTATTATATAATTAATTCCGTACAATCTAGCTAGTAAAATTGTGATTCTTTTGTTACTCTCCTTCACTGTCCACATCGTTCAAGTTGTTCAAGCATAAAAGCAGAACAAACAACCTTCTTTAAGAAGTTCTTCGCGCGCTCTCTCTCTCTCTCTCTCTCTTTCTCTCTCAAAAATGCAGATTCTCTAAACCACTAACTAGGTCATACAATCTTATCAACATCCAAGGATGAAGAAAATAGATGTGTTCTGTGCGTCTCACGCTTCACCAGCCATATGCATGAGCATGGATCAACCTTCTTCCTCCTCCACCACTCAACTTGGTGGCCGGACCCTTGATCGCTACAACCCCATCATCAGAGACCAAAAAAGAACCCCAAGAACTCTCCCTTTAGCTCCTTGTACTTCTCAACCACCCCCGATCAACCCCGTCCCCTACCAGCTACTTCACAAGAGCAAAAAAAGCACTTCAAAGAATAAAGCCAGTGATCAAAGTAGCAACAAGAAGTCGAACTCTACAAAAGCAAAACCAAAACCAAAACCAAATGATCAAAAGACCAAGAAAATCTCATTCAAGCCAACTGATATTGATGATGATAAGAAGAGAACCACTTATATCAATGCCCCAAAAGATATAGTTAGAAGGAGCTGGGCTAAGCCTGGTGATTTTATTACCCCTCCTGGCTCGTCTAGATATCTTTTGGGAGACACAGCATTCTTTGATGGCTTAGCCGATTATGATCCGGTTTTAGCACAGCTTGCTCCTGTGGAATCCAACAGGAATACTCAAGCTTTAAGTAAAGACGAATCTACTGCTTCAAAACCATCTTCTTCTTCATCATCATCTTCAAACCCGAATCAGGTTTGCACTTAACTTTGGTTAAGCTTATCATGTTCTTATAACATCAATAAATAGTAAAACCCTTCAAGTTTTCATTAGTTGTATTCTGAATGCATTGGATTTCAGGTTGTGGTTTTGAGAGTGTCACTACACTGCAGAGGCTGCGAAGGAAAAGTGAGGAAACATCTGTCCAGGATGGAAGGTATGCCCATGTGACATGAATTAATGACTTGACATCCAATTTTATCTCATCTTTGTCTCTTTCTCTTTCAGACGTCATTATTTCTCAGGAAGTGTCTCTATACGCTCTCTGTCTTCTATTCCAAAAACACCCTAATTTGTTTTCTTTTATGTATTCGTGGCAAACACCAATAAGAGAGAAAGAAAGAGAGGGAGGGAGGTCATTAATTTGATTTAACTTATTTGGAGTACCCTGTTTCAAATTAAAGAAATTTTGTATGAGGTCCTGTACTAGCCAACATGTTACATATGGGGTCAACTTACGAGCCCAGGACTGTGCGTTTCGTTCAGCCAATTCAACAGCCATGTCTTCGTTTGGATTCCAATATCAATTATTGTTTTTACTCTGAAAGATGGCTTTTGGATCGTTAAATTAGAACTAAGTGATAGTTTATTCAGATTAAGGTGTTTTGATTTACATCGGCATTGATCATGTGTACACACACAGGTGTGACGTCTTTCAGCATAGATTTTGCAGCCAAGAAAGTCACAATTGTTGGAGATGTAACCCCATTAGGTGTCCTGGCGAGTGTGTCAAAGATAAAGAGCGCTCAGTTCTGGACGTCTACAGCCCCAGCCGCTGCCTCAAATAACACAGAAGGGAGCAAGAAATAATATACTCGCAAGGGTGTGTGAGCGAAAATTGGCCATCTAAGTGCGATTAGATGCTTAATTTAGTGTTAATGCAAGACTTAGCATGAGTAACTGTACCCGAATCTTTTTTTGCTTTGAAGTTAGTGAATATCAAATGAGGAGGGGTCATCTGGTTCACTTTTCAAGATATATTCTCGGGCCTGATTTGTTCCTGCATGGTAAAAAAAAAAATGGAGTTTTTATGGCAATATTGGAATAAACTAAAAAAACTTCTCAGCTATGCTCACAAATCACAGTCGTTGCCCTCAGTTTTTTTTTTTTTTTTTCCCTCAAAGTAAAGCAAGCACTGGCCCATTTTTAGATCCAGTTTCTATTGCTTCCCGGTGACATTTCTTCTTATAATTGCCACGTTGACATCAAAATTTTCAGATGTCAGGGGCACAAGTAATTTACAAAAGAAAACATGCCGGATGCTTCTTCATTTGAAAAACTATTAATGGCAGGAGTATATGATATTAGTAAATAACAAGGGGATCCTTCTGACGTTTTCTCCTCTTCTTTTTGGGATTCTCAGAGTATCTTTAGTTTTTTCTTAACCACTGCTACAAGTGGTAACAATTTTTATTTTTTTATCCTCTTCGTCCTGCTATAAATATTGTCTTTTTACTGCAGGATCTAATGTTTTTTTAATGATGTTTTTTCAATCTGTCTAATGTTTTTCTTAGTTTAAGATTGTTATTCGGATGTTTTTTTAACTATTTCTTGTATTCTTTCATCATTCATAGATCTTTGCTTTGCGTCGCTTGTCACCACCATTGGTGTTATTATATGCACCATCGGTTTATCAGTATTAATATGAAATTGGATTAGAAAATATTCTAAATAAAAACACGCAAGAACATATATTTATACGAGGAAAGATGAACTAAAAATATAAGACTGTATCTTAATCTAAAGAAGGATAATATACAAAATTAAAAATATTTAAGGCTAAGGAGAGGATCATGCTATAAAAAATTATAAATAAAAAGAAGTGAACATTGCTTGATTGATGGAAAAATCCTTATTAATAATATTGGTTACTTGATTAGCATATTTAAATCTTAATAAATATAATTATTATTTTATTATTATTCCATAGTAATCCTCTAATATCACCATTATTTTGACAATGGAACTCCAATCCGGGGCATTTTACAACTATTCAGTGTTATTTATGTGCGTGAATGGTGTCGAAGGAATTGATGCTGTTCATCGTGAATGGCTCGGCTCGGGTTCAGCCTCTACATCTCTCGGTTTTTACACTTTGGGCTTAGGAACCCTTGCTTGTTTGTATAATGGGCTTTGGCTCACTAATGCGTTTGTGACATTTTATTTTTTTGTCGGTTAATGCTAATTGAGTGTTCGGAGCAGAAAGATGGTTATGGGCTTTGGCCCATTGAAGTGTTCAGATTTTAGCCTCTCTTTTTTGTGTGGTTAAATTCCGATTTTAGCCTTGAGACAGAACTTCGTAAAACCGTTCAAGATGCATTGAAGTGGTTTTGCTGCCATTAGTGGCTCTGCCTTCTCCCACGCGGATGCTAGTCTATTATAAAGCAGTGTATAGGTGTTTTTTAAAATCTTTTTTATTTAAAAATATATTAAGGTAAAGTTTTTTTATTATTTTTTTAAACGTTATACTCTCTTTCATTGTAAAGACCCGCCGCACAGTGAAATACCACCTCCAGCCCAATTTGTACTTTGAACTTGAGGCCTTTAATCACGGCATAAAAAATTTGGTAGGATAGCACACCTGACCTTTTTTTTCAAAAAAAAAAAAACAAAGACCAGACGCCGGGAGCGCGTGAAAGGTCAGGCTCGCGTTCCTCGCTATCTTTTTATTTTTTATTTCAAGTGCGCCAACAATAAATCATTTACTCTTTTTAAAAACCAAAGTTGAAGACACTCCTCTGCTGTTATGATGGAAAGTCAAAACTCCACATCTTTGATAAAAAAAAAAAATTAGTTTTCAACTTTTTTTTCATCTTAAATAAGAAATCCAAAAAAAACTTATATCTAATCTGGTGCCTTTATTTTTACATTCTAAAAGAATTGTTGGAAAATATTAATGTTTTTTTTTGCTTCAAATTAAAAAAAGTAGTATTTTCAAATTATTTTTATATGCTAATGTTAAAACTATTTTTAAAAAAATAAAAAAATATTTTAATATATTTATAAATGAAAAACACTTTAAAAAAATAATTATTATCACATTTCTAAACAATTCTTTAACCAATCTTTAATTGGTTAAAAATCCAAAAATTCACTTTGATTTAAAAAATAATTTCAAACTCTGATTTATTTTTTCTGCAAGATAAAAATAAAAAATACATCAATAAAATTTTTTTTATTAAATAAAACTCATTAACTTGCACTGTTTTTAGGAACATTCTTTTTTTAAAAAAAATTAAATAGAACTGAGATATAAATAAAATAAATTATTGGATTAAAATTTAAAATGCAAAAACTAAAGGGATCAAAAAAAAAAAACAAAAGAATTCGGGGGGCTCATTTTTAAAAACACCTTATGTACATTAAAGATATAAAAAGAGCATTTTTTTTTTGTTTGAGTGTTTAGTTTGGTCCTCAAAGTTTCATTTATTTCTTAACAATAAAACTAAACTCTATTTTACCAAACCGGAAAAATCTTTTCAATTACTTGCATTTCATGCGCAAATTAAAGAAATCTCTCTAGAAATCTCATCATATAAGGACAAATTGAGCCATTAACCCTCTTTTTTTTCTCTCAAAAGAATTACATAACATTTCTTTGTCGTTGTATATTAACTACCTCTACAGTCATCACTGTATTTAAATTCTTCACCAACCACCATTGATAGAGGTAATGATGTATTATTAAAAAAATAAATAAAATATTTATTATAATTATTATTATTATTATTATTCCTCCACCACCATTGCCACTCCTTTTCCACTACCACCTCTTGTAGTGATTGTATTATCATTATTATTATTTTACATCCATTAGATCTAGGCACCTGGTCTTATTTTTAAATGCCCCTTTAGTTTTTTTTTTTTAGAATAAAACTCACTAAAATAAACTTTATTAAAATGATTTTTAAAAATTTTCCCATTTTATCATAGTTTTCAAATTGATTATAGCTTTTATGGTATTATGAACAATTAATTTATAAATTGATATGAACATTGTATGTAATTTTATTTTAAGAAGTATATTAATAAATATTCAATAAGAATAAAATACTTATTTTACCAGGTTAATTTCATAATTTTTTTTAAAACTTTCCTTTCAGACCAGGTTAGGTTTCTATTTAAAAAACAATGCTTATAATAAATAAATAAAAACATGTTTACATTTAAAAAAAAAAGACAGAGAGAGAAAGACATGAATACAAAAGAAGAAGTTTTAACTGAAGAGATACATTTTTACTTAATTTAAATTATTAATATTTTTATAAATTTTTACTTTAATTGTCCTACTTTTTATTCAAAAAAACATGTTATTAATAAACTAAACACATTTTTTCTCAAAAAAAGAAAAAAAAAGACACATGAATAACAAAAGGAAAATCTGCCAAACAAACTATATGTTTCTATAATTTAAATAGCTACCATGTCCAAAAATACCTATTAAAAAAACTAAAATAAAAATAAATTCTGAGAACTATCCCAATACATGACGTGAGCACACTATTTCTTTCTAGATGAATGTATCTGGATCCCACTTGGCGTGGTCTCCATGTCCGTATCAAGATTTTGTAGTGATGGCATCAAAATCGAAGACAATAAAAGGCAACTTAAAAAGAGAAATTAAAGGCTAAGATATCTCAAATCTTTCAAACCAGTCAATTCTGTAGTTCTATCGATTTACATGTTATTTAGTATTAAAACCAGATATGCCTCCACCTTTAGTTAGGAGGCGGACTCGTATTTAAGAATGCATCAAGGACTGAACGACGGAAAGAAACAGAAAAGAATGGTAGACTTGGTGGTGGAAGGTGCCATGAAACCATTACTCATCGCCTTAATGGTTTTGCTTACCAGGACGGGCTTTGCCTTCTCTCCCACGAATGCCAGGCCACTACTTAGCCAGCAAACATCCCAATCCCTAAACGGAATACCCTTTTACCATATACACGGCCCACCGCCACCACCTGCCAAGGGTGCCAATGTTTTTTCTAGCCCGTCTTTAAAGGTTGCCAGTGATCTTTCTAGCCAGCAACAATCTTCATTCCTCAACAGAATTCCCGTTTACCATCTACATAGCCCACCACCACCCCTTGTCCCCAAGGGTGCTATTTTCTTTGCTAGCCCGCCACCACCCCCAATCCCCAAGGGTGCTATTTTCTTTGCTAGCCCGCCACCACCCCTAATCCCCAAGGGTGCCATTTTCTTTGCTAGCCCGCCACCACCGTCTCCCAGGCCTGCCAGTACTGGACCCTCTAAAGACCAGTCTCCTTCCGAGATACCTTCACCGCCATCATTTTAAATCGGGGGTAATTAATGAGGGCCCGAATATTGTGCTATATAGTTGAGTGCTAATGCAACGTCCTGGCAATCGTGTTAGCAAACCAAGCATTATTTATAGCAATTATTTTTGTTCTCATCGATTGAATATTGTATGCCCGTGTGTTCCAATGTGTTATTTTCCTCTCCTTTTGTAATTTAATCAATGAATGATTTAAGGTGAAAATAGTTTATAAGAATGACAAGTGAGATTTATAAAGAATAATATAAATTATTTATTAGAACTTCACCAAATATATAGTCCACTGCATTGCCAGCCAAACTAATTTTTTCCTAGCATAAAAAAAAGAAGTTAAAGAGATGCAAAAAAAGCACGACAACAATAAAGTAAAAAAGAAATTAATGATGATTTAATACAAAAAGAAATGCTTGGTAATAAATCTTTTCAATATTTTTAAAAGGTTTTAATGAACTTATTTATTAACAAAATAAAAATTAAATGATAATGAAATGATCACATAAAAAGTAAAATAAAAAAAAATATGAATCTTAATTTTTAGCAAATAAAATATTGAATAACAAAATTAAAAAAAAAAATAAAAAAAAAAACTCAAGTTTATCTAAGCTAACAAATCAAATCTATGATTTAGTTGTGAAATCAAGATAAATCTATTAAAAAAAATTAAATAAAATCATGAAGCTTAATTCAAATGAATTAAGTGTTGACAATGCAAAATAAAATTAAAAAAACTAAAATAAAAAAAAAATCTAAGTCAATCTTAGTAAACTCACTGAATTCATGATCCGAGATATAAAATCAAGATAAGTTTATTCTTAATAAAACTCTTATATTTCATGTTGGTCAAAACTAGTACCAACAATTTATATGCATTGCAACAATTAGTCTACAATTAAAAAGGTATAGAGTAATATATACAATGGTAAGTATGCATTATATGGTAAGTATGCATTATAGATAAAGTACTAAGAAAAATTCAAAGTTGAAAGTTACCTTTCCTAATGCAGTAATTAATTAATATGTCTTTATGAATTCATTGAATTTTCATATTGGCTAGTCAATTTCTATTCATGGAGGGAGTTGTTGGAATTGGCTTTACAAAAATATATAATGAGCTTTTTAAGACCAAATTAAATGTGAGATTCACTCGTATTTAGGGTTAAAATCATGTTGGATTTCATAATCCAACATTAATAATTTAACATGGAATATAAACATGTTTTTAAAAATTAATTAAAGATAAATAATAAATTATTTTTAAAAAAACTTGAAATATTAAAAGTTTCAAGCTCAAAATAGCTCTTTGGATTAGGTAGTGGGCTCATGAGTTTAAGCTTGGATTTGATTACTGAAAAATATTTTACTATTAAGTCCCTGTTTAATCAATAATTTATTTTAGTTTATAAAATGTTTAGTACTTAAATCATATATTAATTATATGATAACAATAAATATATCTATGAAACTTCATGAGTTATAAATAATTGATGAACTACAAACATTTATCATGATTAATAAATATTCATAAATTATGAGTAATTCATTAACAATGAGTTTTAAAGATTCATAAATTATAAGTAATTAAAGTTTTGTTTCTCAAGTCTTGTAAATACATGTCTTAGGTGGGTGAAAATGGATTGAGAAATCTCTTGAGTTATTTTATCCCTTTATTGTTGGTTTTTTCTTAGATGTGTTCTTTTACATATTTTTTTACTATAGAATTTAGATTTGATCTTTGTGGTAAAATATTAAGTATAATTTCTTTGAGTTCATTGAAACCTTATGAGGCTTATTGAAATTAGTTTTTTTGCACTATATAATGAATAATAAAATAAACTTTAAAGATAGATGATTCCTCATTGACAAGAACAAAATTTTTATATTGGATATTTTTTAAGGATTTCAACAAGTACATTATTTTTCCTATATCTTTTACAAATTTATATATTTGCTTAGTATATATACTATATTTTTGTAATGATTACAAGATTATCATTTTTTAATATGTTTGCATGATTTTAAACAAAACATTTGTTTAATCATCTAATCATTTTGTAATTATTGAAAAAATATAATGGTAATCATGTTGGCAATCCAATTCATAAATACACCATTTGTAATAATTATTTAGCTTTCATAATTGAAGAATAAAAAATTAGAGTTCTTCCAATTTATTCATTTTTTCCTCTATTGCAAATTAAACTATCTTATATTATTTAGAAAGTTAGAAATCGTTTATAAAAAGACTAAGTCATGTGATTATTTTACTCTTGATGTTGCATTGTGATAATGCTCACAAATCACCATGAATTGGAATAATTAATTTTTTTAATTTTTTAATTTATTCCTTGATTATTATTATTTTTTTGCATGATTTAGCCTTTTTTAGCCCAAATTAATAGCCAAACACATCTTTTTTTAACATAAGGTGAAGTTAAGACATAAAGGACCAAAGTGAAAAACATGGAGAAAAAATGTGACAACTTCAAATTTTATCTAAATATATTAGTTTGATCCCCTATCATTTTAGTTAATAAATGATTGGTCCCTTTAGTTGTCAAAAATTTCAACTTTATACCAAACTTCATTTTCCTCCTTTTTTTAGTTATTTTTTTTTTATGAGATGAGAGAGATAAAGAGTCATTGGAATATAAATTAAAAAGATAAAGTCATTGTTGACACATATGTTAACCATCAAAATGGTTGAAATTGATATCAACAAAATTCATTTGATGATTGGAGTTTTATAGTGGTTATTTTAAGCATTAATATTGCCTAAAACACTAGAACTAAGTCAAGAATGAGAAATTATATTCGGATAATATTATGATTTGGACTTTTTTTTGTTTATTAGATTGATATGTTGGTTTTTTTATGCTTCAAGAGTGTATGTATGGTGTTTTCGGGTTAAAATAATTTTTTTGGATGAAAAACTCATAGGCTCGATTTTTCATCAACTCCAATGGATGGTAGCTAAATTTTAGGTTCGCATATGACATGTCATCTGTCTTTTTAAAAAAATAAATAAAAGCATATAACAAGTTATCTATTTTTTTTAATAAATAAAAGACCATAGGTACAATTGAAGGCATGGATTTAAAGCCCTATGCACTTGTGTTTTTACCTTTTCACAAGCCTAGAGGATTGGACTATTTATGGGCTCTTTTTATTTTTAATTTTTTTAGTATATTTAGATTAACTATAAATTTATAAAAAATATAGAACCAGATTAAGTTCTTAACCTGGATTGCAAGTTAAACATGTGAAGCCACAACATCTAATCTATTTTTTTTGGTTGAATGTATTTTTTGTCCCTTAATTTAAATAAATATAATTTCACTATTTATGTTTTGCGATATGACTTTTTGTTATCAATAACATACCTTTTCTATCTGAATCTCATGCACCAATCATGGTTTTTATTTTTTTAAAAAAATAATTCATATAAAAAAATCTTTTTTAAATAAAAATAATTTATTAGATAAAAAAATTATTGAATTTGATGACGTTCATGACTTATACTGCGAGATTGGTTAGTTAACTCGAATTCACATGGTTTTTCTTTTTAAAATTAATTTTATTATTTAATATTAAGTTAGTAAGGTATTTTAATTTTTTTTATTTTCATAAATATTCCTATAAGTTTTTCTTGTCATCCTGATTGGTAAATTCATTGATTTTTTTATATATTTTAAAAAAATAATTTACTCTTTCTGAGGCCTAATATGTGCCAATGGGCTAGGAAATACATATGCCGAGATGCGTTTTATGAAATTGAAAATGATGCTCTAACCCGCACACTGGATTTGTACACCACCTTTGGGCCTTGGAAGTTCCACTCCACACACACACGCACACGCACACATTTATATATATGCTTATAATTCTTTTCTACAGAAAGTTAGATTATGATGAATCATAACAAATCAAATCAAGATTTACGTACTGTTTAAGCAAATAGGAAGTGATCTATGAAAACTCAGTACTCATAAGCATAAAATAAAATTTCAAATAATTTTTTTATTAAAAGAAATATTTTAGCATTCACTATTGGTGAAAAAGATAATATAAAACACACACAGAAAATGAAGTGCTAGAGATGATTTTATCAATAAAAAAATTGAGATCCAATCGTTATTTTAAAATAATTTTAGCAGTATTTACATTTATTTGATTCTTTTGCTCCCTTGAATAATATTTGCTCAAACATAATTGAAAATTAGCAAATCAAAATTAACTTTTGACGTTTTAGTGTCAGAAATAAATTTTTAAAAATAAAAAATATTATTTCAATATATTTTTAAGTAAAACACATTTTAAAAATTACCTACACAAAATCATTAAATGTTAAGTTCTAAAGAACTAAAAATTTTGAGCAGGCTTGAGCCTACGCAGTTAAAACGACGACTACGTTAGGGCACCTAGGTCGATGCCGGGCGGCTAACCAATCATGGAAACTCAGGACTCGAGTTCATTTTGCTTTACTTCTCTAAATCTGCGATGGGGGTTTTGTTTTCTATGCAAAGAGGAGTTCATCAATTTATTCATCATCTAAGGAAATGATGATTTCATTCCTACATTTCCGTAGTATACGTTACCCTCCTAAATCCAAAGGAACTCGTGTGCCTACACTGCTACTAGCTCTCTTACTAACTCTTCTGTCAATAGCCTCTCAATTTCCCTACCTATTACATCAACGTCCTCCCTCACATCCAACCACGGCGATTCCCCTTCCAGTATCTTGTCCGCTGCGACGTCCTCGTTAGCTGTTGTAACTTGGCTACCAATCAATTTGCGAAGACAATCCTTGAGTCCATTTTTTATCCACTTGGGATTAATCATAGTTGCAGACCTCACCCACGGGTGTGAATTTGCATGTTGCTGGTAAATCATCAGAAGGGCTATGTTTAGACGGTCAAACAGCAGCCTCCTTTCAGACCTTGGCCAGGATGCATGATTACAGTACTTCTTCTCAAGTTCTTCAAATATCAAGGGGTTGACAGGGCATTCTGGGGAGTGCAATGTTCTCAGAAAAGTATCGAGATCAGCATCATTAATACCAGAGCCTAAACATACATCTACTATGTAGGAAAATTCCTTGCTCTCGGCAGCTATTTGTCTCTCTTCTGTAAATCCAACAGGGCCCTCCTCGGCATCTTCATCACTTGAGATGAGCATGGGTCCTTCCTCATATGCTTCTGACTCCAACCTAAGTAGTTGAAGCTGCATCCGAAGTCCTACAGGAAGGGGAAAAAATTTAAACAAGGCAGCAATAATAGGAATGAAAACGTAAATTCCCATCAATGGCTGAATTTTTGCAGCAGAAGATTTTTCTCTCTCAAAATCAACACCATTTTTGGTCTCACTCGAGAATGCAGTATTTACGAGAAAGATACTGGTTTATCTATAGTGGCGAAACCACAAACCAATGAAGACAAAGAATGACTGGTCTTAGCATATTAAATCAACAAAAACCTCATTATTTAAGATTTCAAAACATTTATACTCGGAGTAATAGAATGATTTTGTCCCCTCATTGTTATTCTTTCAGCAACAACATACTAAATAAAAACTTGTGCTCAGAAACTCCAAGTGGAGTCATGAAAAATGCAAACAAATATTAATTACAATGAAAAAGCAAACTGAACAATTCAAATGCAATGATTCAAATCCCGGGTGGAGACCAACCAATGAATGAAGAATTAACAAGCTAAACAGTTTTTCAAGATTACCATTCAGGTCAGCGCTGAGACTCTCAAAGCACTCAGAACCAGATGACAGGTCGTCTGGAAAAGGAGTTTCAAGAACAGAGACAGGACTGGGTTGATCAGCCTCCTTCGAGCATGCTGGAGATTCTACTTTGGCTACAGGTTGCTGCATGGAAACTGAACCTTTATCGGATGGCCCATTTGATGGTTTCTGAAACACCAACAAGTGCTGAGATTAACTGTTCACTATGTAGAATTGAAGTATCCATTTCATTATATATATACAACAGAGGAGGTCAATTAAACCAGCACCAAATTGTTTTGGATCATTCAACTAAAGACACACTTGAAAGAAAATATACTTCGAGCTTTCAGGAAAGAAGCAAATGTTAAACATATATATCCTAGAAAGTAGGGAAGAGATGTGCATGCTTGAGTGTTTGTATCTCTATAGATATATACTAACGCAAGAGCACCAGGATTCTGTCATCTAATTTAAAGATATCTCAAAGACAGAATCATATTTGAATTGTTCAAAAAGCACTTTGTGACACAACACATGCGCTTAACCACAATTGCCTCTACAGACAGTGCGAGAAAGTTATCTGACATAAAGGTGTCCAAATTATCAAACAAGAAAATTTACTGAAATGAGAAGCCAGGTAGCTTCTATATTGAGCTTGCAGCTGAATTAGATTAATGGCCATAGCAAATGATTGGTATTGCTCAAGGAAACACATAGTAGGAGAAAAAATGAACTTTTTTTCTGAAACAAAATATTAAAGAATGCAATCTTGGCATGAGTATAATATAAGAAAAGAAACACATAGCTGTTCGAATATTTAAAAATCTACTTTTAAAACTAATATTGATATAATTCCACGAACTGAAACTCCAATCTAAGGGAAAATCAAACGTTTAAGTCAGACGTCACGAGTCAAAAACCATACGCATCTGACTGACTGATTTTCTGAACTGCAGTAGAAAATTATTAGGAAAGAGAAGAAAATAAACAGGCAAAATTCTCCTTTCCTTAACATTGGGATTTGATAGGAAGAACACCCTATAGCTCGAAGTTTCTATCTACAGTGCTCATAATATGCCAGCATGCACAAAGGTCATCCATTAAAGATAAGAACCGTACCTGTGAACTTAAAACTTCCAGATCACTAGTAGAGGAATCGCCTTTTACCAACATATAAGTTGATGATTCTTGGTTAATAGGCATCGAAGGCATGGCTTTGTTCTCAATTGCCACATCCACCGCATTTTCAACAACTAAACTTGTATCTGTGACAATAGAATCTGGTGTCTCAGAAACTGTACAAATTTGTTCAAGTGAATCATCTTCTGCGATCTCGCTCTGCACTTGATCCAAACCAAAATTAACTTCCTGGAAAGTGTCACTGTGATTTCTATATGAGCAGCTAGACATGTGAGAATTCTTAGTAGGGGATCTGGAATTTCTAGAAGGTGAACATTCTCTCTTACTGAAATTGCCTTTTATTGTTCTGTTTCTTTCCTGCTGGATCAATTGCTTTGGGATTATATATCTGTCATGGCATACATTTTCATGGCGCATGCCTAGTCTAGGACTGCTGATAACAGTAGATGTAGCAGGCACAGACCTTGATCTAGATAGATTTCCGGCACCAACATCCTTCCAGCCTTCCCTGCTGCTAATACCCAAAGGTTCATCCCTCCTAACTGCTCCATGTTTGCGATCACCTTTATCACTAAATACTTTTTTGCAGATCATTGCATCTGAATTTCCCGACCTTGTTTCCAAATCTGGGATAGCAAGCATTTCACCTAGTGTGTTGCTACGACTAACGATTCCCATGTCCACAGACTTATGAGTCATTTTCCACCTCTCTGAAAGTCTCTTCCTGGCCTCTCTGCTCACTGATGACTCGGTAGAGCATGATGATGAAGGTCTGTATCGGTTGCTCCAATCAACGGAATTTCTGGAAGTCACTGTTGTCTCCTCTGATTCATTTGCAGACTCATTTTCAGACATGTCTGGCGAACTCTCATCCCTTGCATACCCTATAAAAGCAGGTGTTGAAAAACTCATGGAGCCGTTGCCAAAACTTTCCCTCATTTGCCTAGTTATTTCCTTTGCGATTTCTCTAGATTCTCTAGACTTATACCTTGAGGGCCCTGCATCATCAGGAAACTTTTTCTTTCCATATGACACCACCTCCCTGTTCTTGATACCAGGAGGTTCGGTGTGTTGCCTACAATCTAAAGGTGAAGCACGAGAATATTGAGGTGATGAAGTATTTTTTGTAGAATTCTGCGTTCTCCCAAGATTTGGTTTCAGAACAACAATCCTTGTAGGGAGAATGGCGGACTCGTCTTTTTGATCCGGTTGAATTTTTGACAACTCGACTGGGTTTTGAGCTCCATGCTTGCCATGAGAGTGGCTAGCAGGATCAACATGGGAATTTCTTCGATTCTTCAATGCAGTTTGCCTCTCTACATTGGAGCCTAGGCCACTGCTCCCACAGTGTGGAGGATGTGATGGCTTCATAGCTGATATGCGAGTCTGACCACAATGGGATTGTGTAGGGACACCTTGTAGATCATGCAGATGCTTTGTGAACAGGGAATCTGGCTGCTGAAGGTATTTCAGCAAAAGATCCTTGTTGGAGTCCAGATCCTCAATAGCATCATGAAATTCCCTTGAATTCTGAAGCTTTTCATCAGTTGAAAGCCGTTTAGCATCCATGAATTTCTGCTGAATGAATGCCATCTCTGCCGCTGAGAGCTTTGAGTGTGCAGTTCCCCGTGACGAGTAACTACTACTATCTATCTTTGATGGGTCTAAAACTTCAAATACATCTTTAAATTCTTGCTCATCCTTCGAGCTTTTTCTGGATGACCGCCGACCATACGAGGCATTGTTTCTTTGAGCTTTCTCTGTCAATACCATCCTTTGTGTGTAGTTCTCCAAGGACTTCTTTTGTTGTTTATGAGAAGATTGCTGCGGTGGTAACCCATCAAGGCCCATCAATCTGGCAATAACACTCGGTGACCTTCTTTTGGAATCAGATTTTCTTGACATCTCTTCTTCTAATAACTTTTTTATTGGTGTTCCAGCTGCTTGTTTTGGAGATCTCCGCCCCAACTCACAAGTGAACTACAGAAGCCAAATGATTCAAATCACAACTATGAATACAAGTAATAAATAGATACAAGAGAAAGCTAACATAGGTGAAATTCCTAATTCATATAGCTGGGCAGGATTGCTTTTCAATCAATTTTGTAAAGGGAGAAATCATAAATAGAAGCAGATCAATCAACACACACCAGATCGTCGCCGCTCTGAGAACTAGAATCAGAGGCCAAATTTGGGAAGTTTCTCGGTTTTCCGACCAGCCCGTTTCCTGGAAATGAATTGCCAGTACAACATTAGGATTGCTGTTGCAAGTAAAAGGGAAGGGGGGGATAGCAAGAGTCAAGACACAAAAATTGCAAGAGTTAACTAATCCAATCAAGAAATCATCGAAGAAGTGTCATTCTGAGCATGCGAAGTTAAAGAACGTCCTGTGAATTTCCACAATATACAGAAGGTATTGTCCTCAAACTTGAAATAGCAAGCGCAGGACTAAGATTATTTTTTATTATTAATAATAATAATAAAAGTTCCAAAATAGAATATGAATAATAATTAGTCTAAATTGAAAAGAAACCACTTTAAAGAATTGCAATCATAGCTTGTTACAGCCATTGAGTTAGTAAAAGAAACAAGCAAAATAATCATGCCAATACCACCATAGAATAAATAAATAAAAGGTCATAAAGTAATTCAATCAAAAACTTACTTTAACTAAACCAAAGAAACAAAGCCAAAGCTCAATCTAGTTGTTATTTAGTGCAGGAACCAAAATGATGAGCAAAAAACCGAAGAATAAATGCTATAATTTTATTTTATTTTTCAATCAAAGACTAAAAATGCATTCAAATGAGCGAAATTTCGACTATTATTTAGCTTGACTGCCTGCAAAATCTTAAGAAAAAAACAAGTAAAAACAAACTGATTTTCTTTTGCATTACTTTTTTTTTCCTAAAAAACAATATAAAAAAGGCCAGCAAAGGGGAAAAAAATGAAAAAAGACTTTGTTTGGATGCTGAGAAAAGTGTAGGAGAAGAATGAAAGAAAACAGCCACTTCAACATTTCTAAGCTTGAAATTGACAAAACAATTACCTTCTCTGCTAAGATTATGACTATGAAGAGGAGAAATAAGCGAGGAATTGGACCTTCTGAGCTGAAATCTCTCCATTATTATCACTCAAAAAAAAAAAAAACATGCAGTGCAATGCAATGTAGCAGCAGCAGCAGAAATCTAGATCGGAAATCCCGCAAAGAAGCAAGCGAGAAATAGAGAGGAAGGATCCAAGAAAATCATATAACTGAACTTAAGAAATAAAAAAAAAAACACTTAAATTAATTTTTTTTCAGCTTCTTTATTTCCAAAGACAGGTAGTATTACCAGATCTTGAAAATAATTAAAAGAAAAGGATAAAAAAAGAAACATTTTCTAGAAAGAACAAAAAACACCTAGAGAGAAAACAGCGGATAACAAAGAGAGAGAGAGCGTGTCCCGTTAGAACTGTCGAAGAGAGTGTGCGTGTGGGGGGTGTGGTTTTTTTGAACATTCAAAAAACGAAGACTGACAGAAGAGTGAAGGTGAGAGCGGGCAAGTAGTCCCACGTGTCCATGATTTTGGCTACACGTGTGGAGAGCGACTGGCTGCCACGTTTTCTTGTGGGTTTTTTTTAAGGGTGCTACTGGAGGTTGTATTTTAGTTTTTGTCTCTTTTTATTTCTCTTTTTTTTATTTGGAATTTATTTTTTATTTTCATTTTATATGGCAGGAAATAGAGAACGAGAAAGTGAATTTGGATGGTTAATTAATCAAGATAAAAAAAAAAAAACATTTCACGTTGTGGTGTGGTACATCTTGAGATAAGAGTTGCATATACGGAATCTTCATTCATTTTTTTGAGATGCCTCATTGGCTTTGGGATCCAGCAAAACCTTATCAATATAAAAAATAAATTATTTAGATACGTGGTATTCTTTGATGTTATTATGCAATATTTCTCATAATATACTTGAATTAGAAAAATATTAATTTGACACTGATTTGAATTTTTTTTTTTTTGTTAATTTTGATATCTTTGTATTAAAAATATCAAAATTAAAAGTATTTAAAAAATATTTTAATATCTTCGCTAAGGAAAAAGTATCTCTCAATTGCATTACCAAACATGTAATGTACCAAGCCACAGCTAGGTGTGTTGGCTGAAAAATAATTTTTTTATTTGAAAAGTAATTTATATGAAAAATAGATTTTTAAAAAATAAATTATTTTTTATGTTTAATAATATCATAAAAACTGAGTTGAAAAACACTTTTTAGTGTTTAGTTATGTCATAAAAAATCACTTATTAATATTTTAAATTTTTTTAAGATTATTAAAAGAATAAAGATCGAACCTAGTAAATAAAAAAATTAAAAAATAATGAGATTGAAACTAAATCAAATTTTATGAATTATTTTAAATAAAATAAATACCGATCAAAAGTATAAGGCATAATTTTATAGGTGAACAAGTTGATGAGGGATAAAATTAAAAATAAAATTTTATTTTATAAATCATTTAAATAAAAAAAACAAAAAAAAAACATGTACTATATTTAAAGGAAAAACAAATTGAAAAGTTACTTTAAAAATCTGGATGAGGGTCATGTGTGAAAATAAAGAAAATAGAAAAAATAAAAATATAATTATTGGCGTCACATCACAAATCGGTACATCACACATGGTATCTAAAAAGAAAGGAGCGTTAAGACAATTAGGTTACCTTCACACATTATGCACGGTTTCATATCTTGTTTGAATGCAATAACTAATACATGTTTTATATTAATTAAAATATCAAATTGTCTTTTTATCAACTTGATGATTATTAAAAAAAACTAACATAAAAAATACTAAAAATCTCGGTTTAATAAATTTTAATTTTTAAAGTAATTTAATTATTTTACTCTTTTTTTTAACATACAAAAATTGTTTCCTGTAATTGAGAGAATTAAAGCGCTTTTCTTTGGATAAAGCTTGCGTGGTTTAATGGAAAATGTTTGAAGAATGATTTTTATAAATTTATATTTTATACTCTTTTAAACATGATTTATAAAATTATTATGATGACATTTAAAAATTAATATGCAAGTCAAATAGGAAAATACAAAAAAAAATTAGTAAAAAAACTCAATAGATATAAAAATTGTTAAAATAATCTAAGGAGGTATTACATTAAGCGTCAAAAGGCATAGCCAATATATTTTTGAGAAAGTATTATTCAAACACTCGTGTGTTATTGTGGATTTATTGGCAATTTGTTTTTATTTGAATCATCAAACTTTTATTCTAGATGATTTGATCCTGATAAAAAACAAACTATTTCTAGTTTCTTAGTTAAAAATGAAATTAAAAGATAAATCATCGGAGTTCAAAAAGCTCTTGAAATGTGTAATGTTTTCGAAGATAGCATGAAAACTACACTTCGATCCTTTATTTTTATAGATAATGCATTCTTGATCTTTTAGAATGTCAAAAATTCATGTTTGGTCAATGACTTGATTTTTTTTTATATATATATAGTCTATGATAAAAGAGAGCAGAGAGATGAATCACTATATTTTAATGATAAAAAGAAAAAATTATTATTGATACTAATTCCAATCATGAAAAATATTGATTTTAATATTAATGACTTCTATTTAATAAAGGGAGTTTATCCTAGGTATTATTTGTCCTTCACATTGCACGAGATGATATATATGAGTTTAAGAAGTTTTTGAGTTTTAAATTGTTTTTTAAATTATTTGAGACTATATATAAATCTAGTAATATGTTTCAAATAAAAATTAATTGTAAATAGTTATTAAAGTAAAACAAAACCATCAACACTAATTTTTTAGTTACCACATTACTTGAAATTTAGGAAAATACAAAAAATGTGTTGCCTTTTTTTTTAAAAAATTTTTTGTTGTAAAAGACACTTATCCACCCCTCAATAAAAAAATAGCTCAAGCATGTGCACCCAAGCTTTGTTTTTGAGTTTTTGCTTAAAAGTAACTTATTTTTTTACTTGGTTTTCAAATAAAATTATAATATATTTTTTAAAATATATACAACTTTATATAATATTTTTTTATTTAATTGCTTTTATAGTGTGTTTGTTTTTATTATTGTTTGGTTAAATAAAATTATTATAACTATAAATATAATTTATTTTTCAATATCAAATATCTAGATCCACTTCTATCTCCTTGTTTTTCTAGTATTTTTTTTGTCATCGTTAAAGATTTTTTGATGTTTTTTTGATATGGATAATCATTTGATTAAATATTTTTTTTAAAAAAACAAAGTGATTAAATACAACTGAGAGATCAAACATATTTATTTGCATCCATGTTTCTAATTTTTTAGTTTAGTATTTTATTATCACTAGCAACTTTTATTGACATGGATAATCATTTAATAAAATAAAAAAATCTGGTATAATAAATAAAGTTGTTCTACCTTTTATGTTTTTACATTTTAGTCTCTATTTATTATGTTAATTAGCATAGATAATTATCAATTTATTTAATTAAAAACATACTCGAGCTTTTTAATTTTTTGTTGGGAATTTTTATATGGCTAAAAACACATTGGGAAATCTCGCATATTCATATTTTTGCTGAAAAAAATACAGAACCCGCAGTGGATTACAAGTCAAATAGCTGATATTTAAGCTAAGCAAAGTCAGGTCATATCTAGTGTCTTCAGACGTTGATTTAGAGTTTTTAATTTCATTTTCACCTACTTCCTGATATGATTACTCCAAACGAATAAACTATATACACTACGAATTATTTGTAAACATAGACTTTATAGGGTTTACAATAAAAAAAATCCAATGGGGGGATCATTGGAATGCTTTTATTTTTATTTTCTTAAAATTCAATTCCATGATGTCCGCAGGCTGCAGTCTGCACATGTCTATACTCGTCTTCTGCGCGCAAAGCCACCACGTAAAAATACAGGAGTAAAAACAATGGCACTTGATATCGAGGCCAAACATGTGTCGTGCTTGGAAACACGGATAAAATACACATGCAAAATTCTATATTTAAGTGATGATTTTCGTGCTTAATTGGGAATAAGTATGGAATTAAAACAATGTTTAAGTTATTATTTATCAGACATTTGAGGGTGTAGTTCAGTGGCCAGCTATAAAACTTACTTTCTAACTTTCCCGAGTTAAATTCTTTTTATGTATTAATTTATTATTTTTGTAATGTTTTATTTGTTTACTAGACTTGTAGAATATTTAGTAGATCCAAAGATTAGTTATGATATGTGTAAGTTGATCCGAACATTCTGAATTATTAAAAAAAAAGTTATGATTTATCAGAAATATATTAATTATAGGATAAAAAAATTTACTTATAATCTGTAACAGAAAAAAAAATAAAAAGGAAAAAGAAAAAAGAAAGGTGTCTTAATCTCCGCCGACAAGGCAGATGGAAGTTCATAGCTTCGGAATGCATCTCTTGCACTCCCTTTCTCCTCGTGAATGAAGTTAATTCCTTGTCGTGTTTACGTTGGGTAAAAGGTAAATTAAAACCGAGGGAAAGCTGCAAAAAGAAAAAAAGCCCCATGATTTTGATTTGACCGAGTTAAAACCTGAAAGTGTCGCTAACGTTGTGATTAAACCTTTTGTTTTGTTATTTTTTTTTGTTTTAAATTGATTTTTTAATGTTTTTAAATTGCTTTGATTTGTAGTTATTAAAAATACATTTTAAAGAATAAAAAAAATATTATTGGCTTCTTCCATTCCATAAATTAATTTGTTGAAACCAAATACTCCAACTTCTTATTTGCGTTCTAATTGAGTCCTCATCCTTTAATTTCCTATACATTAATCCAATTTATGTTATTCTAGCATCAAATCTGGACGTGTGTCCATATTTTCATGGTTTCCTCAACCATGAACACTGTTTTCAGTGATGAAAATACTTTTTTTGTTTTATGATTTTTTGAATTTTTTTTATCGGGCAGTTAGGTAATTGTTTCCCAGGAATAAACAAGTATTTGGTGTATTATAGTTATAGAGTTTATAACATTAGGATGTAATTACAAAAAACTTAAAGATTGATGACTTATATTAGCAAATAAACCTAGGGGAAAAGAAAAAGAAAAAACAAGGAGAGTTCATAACGCATAAAGCCTCAAGCAAGATACATATGCTTTTGAATTTTAAAATTTAAAGTACTCTTAACATCTTCTTTTACTGGGAGATTTATTTTGTTTAGTTCTGAACTAACAGCACGGCTAACCCATATTCTCAAATTAGTTTTTTTTTTAATTATTAAAAAGTAATATCACTTTATACTGCCATAGGTGGAATTGATAGCCAATTTACTCATCGGTCATCGGTTTATTAATAAAGACTTGGTTTCAAAGGGAAAAAAAAGTACATATATGGCGATTAGAATACGTCTTTTATAATATAAAACACTAAGAGATTTGGAGAAGTGAGTGTATTGTGAATTCGCACAATGTTTTTTTCTTGGACTTTTGTTTTTCCATTTTTTTAAATCAAATTT